CCCGTAACCCACCACGTTCAGATCCAGGAGGGTGTTTTCTCCCTGCCACCTTTCCCCGTAAGCAGGTTTCTCTCCACACACGACGACCCTGGCTTTCCTTACGTAAAGAGCTGTAAGTAAAACACTGCTTACGTCTGGTTGTAGCCATCCGGCTGAAAGCAGGGGTCCCAGCCAAAATCTCGAGGGCCTCTGGGCTCCACTATCAGCCCCTGCCACGAGAAAGCAAAAAAGTCCCGTAAGCTGTGGTTTCGCAGCACTTCCCTCGCAGTCGCACTTCAAACACAGACTGAAGAGCTACACGCAGCCATAGCTCAGGCAGTGGTCACCAAAGGCTCGGTACCTGGTGCTGTCCTCGTTCCCAGGACGTAAACAAAATCAGCAGTCACAGACTCAGTGCTCCGTCACGCTGCCCTACGCTGATAGCTCCTTTTCTCCCCTCAATTAACAGAGCTAACAACTGCACTCAAATACAACCCTGTCAGAGGGAAATGAGGGGGCTGAAGAGCCTGAGGTAAGGTGCAAAGCGTTCGGTACGTACAGCTGGGCGAAAAGGGCTGCAGCATTCAGCACCCACCAGCTGCGCCCTCCCTCAGCCTGTTCCAAATAAGCTCCGAGGGCATTCAGTGACCCAGGGGCCACCAAAATCGTCCTCAACAGAGCCAATGCTGTTACGAAATTTACATTACAGCCCTCCTCCCTCAGCATGTTCCCTTCCCCAGGCACAATACCTACATGAGTCTGGCCTTTGAACAGCTTCACTGGCTCCTCTGGGTTTCCAGTACTGAATGCAAAGGTACAGAGAGCATAGGCAGATTTGTCTTCAAACCCAGCCAGCAGCTTGTACAGGCCTGAGCGACACAGAAAGGATCCCGGCGTTACAGCCTTTCCCTCGGAGCGCAACACACCCACCTAGAGACGGATCGAGGGAGCATTCTGCATTCACATCCACAAGAACTACAGGAGGTGACAAAGCTCAGGCACACGGATGCTCTTGGCTGGGTCCCTTGTATGACTGAAGCCAGCACCTCAGATCTAACACAGCATGAGCTGCGGGACCCCGCTATTAATTTGGGAGCAGAAGCAAACGAGCACGTGGCGCCAGCAAGGACTAAAGCCCGCTCTGAATTAGCGTGATCAATGCTCACGCTCGTGATACCAGTGCGGGATTTGCAGTCACACTCTTAACCACGGGATCAAAGGCAGTCACTGCACGTGAGGGGAGGTGAGCATTAGTGGAAAGGGGCTTGCACAGAAGCCAAAGGGAGCAGCAGGTCTTCCAGGTCACACTGATGACCATCAAGAAGTTCCTGCAAGCCCCGCCACCAGCGGCAGGAGTTTGGGAATCCAGGGATGATGCTGAAGCTACTGGCGAAAACAACATCCCATGAAGAAGGGCAGAGAACAGGCTCAAGGACAGAATGCAAAGGGACAGAGCTGGACAGACAGGAAAGGAACCAGCTATGAAATGGGCAGCACGGTGGGCAAGCACGCTTAGCAGAACCCAGCATGGGCAGGGAGCCATTTCATTTGGAAAGGACCGAGTGAAATGCAGAGCAGTAACACGGGGGGCAGTACCTTCTGGCTTGAGTTTTTCCAGGAACCATTTTCTGAAGGGGAAGAAAGGAAAGATTAATTTTTGCTATTATTTCTCAGAAATACAGGTATCCTTGAGACATTGTTGCCTATATTTTCATAGCCCTTTGAATCCCTCTTAAATGTGCTGTCAAATCACCTCATCCTGGACTATTTACCAAAAATGACAGACTTGGCTCTTAAACTGAATGGGACACAGTGAAAACAGCAGCGGGGTATTTAATTTACTGCAGTACTGGGGTCTATGTAAATAACCCAGTTCTCACTCGTGAGATGCCAAAATACATTTCTCAACTCAACTTGTTCACATCTTACACCTAGTTCTAGTGCCAACTTTCATATAAAGCTTTTATGTCTCTGCTTAGCTCAGCAGAGATAGTTTGGAAGAATTAATCACACTAAAAGTTAATTCCAGGAGCTAAGGCAGTATTTTATTAGAGGAGCCACACTGTAATGTAATAATCTTGTTATCTGCTGGATTAAAGCAGTCCCTATGAGAACCTACAGGACACTCATCCCAGAGCCTTAACTATGGAGAGCCCGCTGTGGGGCTAGGTTCCCAAGCTGGCTCCAAGAGCAGGCACCATAGATCGGGAGCCAGAGCCAACAATTTGGGTCTGTCTCTCTCGTCCTGCACCATGACCTACAGCAGGGCTCAAGGAGTTCAAGTCCAGCCCCTGGGGTGCAGGATGAAGCCGAGGACACAGACCAGTAAACACCCTGACCCTATTGCTCCTGGCGTGTGGAGAATCCCCCGAGAAGCGCACCCTGCCAGCCTGCGCTCCTAATTCTAGGACACGAAAGGTGAAGCAAGTGCCCTCCTACTTACATGTACGGTCCTGGAAGCCCCCCCAGGGCATTGAAGCACAAGCAGGTATCCTCTACTATAACAGGTCCCTGAACCTACAGCAAAAGCCCAAGAGATGGAAACATTAGACCTAGAGGAAGGCACTGCCTCCAACTCCATTTTCTTGCTCTATCCTATTCTCACGTTTCCACAATAACAGGAACGTCACAAAAATCCACCAGCCACTAAAGTTCTTAGCCTTGCAGGCAATCCATACCAGACAGACGCAACTAAACCAATGATCTCCCCAGGCAGGCCAGAGTGGCTGAAATGTGGCAGGGAAGATCTCACATGGAGAAAAACGAGCAGAGCTGAGCACCCCCTGCCCTCTTGGAGGGCAGGAATGGTGGGACATGGAGGGGAAAAGCCTGTGTCCTGGAGGCACGCCTGCATTCTCCTCGAGTCTCAATCCTCACTTCGTTCTTTTAAGACACCCATCCCAGAGACAGCTCTGGAAGGTGATCCATCAGAAGCTCCAGCTGATAGAAAACTCAAGTGTCCCATAACTGCTGGGGCTGGACTGAAGGAGCTGTCATGTCCTCCTGCTGCTTGAGGAACACAAGAGGCCAGAGGAGCAGCAGCAGGACTGCCTACACACCGTGTCACCACTGAGAATTCACCATCACCCAGCTTAGGCCAGAAACAGCTGGGTGACGGGAGCGCAGCGAGGCCGGGCCAGGTCCGGATGTGTCCCCGATTTCCTTCAGGGCCGGCTCAGAAGCCCCGATGCCCCCAGCTGCCTCCCACCCCACCGGGGCTAGAGTCCCCTGGAGCTCCCGCACCCACACCACCGCTCCGACCAGCGGAAAAGGAGGAGAAAAGGAGCGACCTGCCGGGCAGCTTCGCGGCACTTCTGCACGGAGATCTCGTCCGGCTCCCCCTGGTACTCCG